TCGTTTTCCATACGTCGGATCTCCTAACGTACTATAAGTACGGCCACACACACACACACACACACACACACACACACACACACACACTGTGTAACCTTATGCGATAAATATAATATTATATATATAGTCAAGTGTGTTTGCTCTGGGGACGGACATTATTTTTACTTAAGACAAGTCTCGTAGTTCATTTCAGAAGGTTTTTAGTGTGGAATGCATGTGTATGTGTGGGCGTGTGTGTGTATGTGTCTGTCTGTAATATATCTACCAAAGATAATAATATCGCCCGTGTAGGCAAACGCGATTTCAACGGGATAAGAGCACAAAGGTTTGCGAGAAATATTTTGATATAAAACCTAGGTGAATTTAGCAAATTTAGTCAATTTATTGTCATAATATGGAGTAGCGTTCGATACTTTTCTATTGTAATAGCCCATTACCCATTACCCAATTCGAATGTGAATCGTTTTCGGTGTATTCGCAAATCGTTTTAAAAAGCCAATAATGCAGATTTTTCTCACAAATAAACGATGAAATACGTGATATTAGCTCTTTTTAACGTATATAATTATTATAATATTGAGTTGGCAAAACTTATAACTGAAACCTAAATGGACATCGAACGTTCAGAGTAGACACAATGAGATAATGTGGTAAAATATAATAGGACGTATATTCCCATAATCTAACTTAACATTATATTGATTATACTCACTATACTACTGCATCGGAAACCATGATGTACATGTACATGTCATACTATATGTACATGTCGTACTTATAATATCACTGCCCGTACTCAGTGTAGCAAAGCAATTAATGTGGTTTGGAAAAATATTGTATAGTTTAACATATATAACATAGCTTTTTCAAGAAAAATTTAACCCATAAATATGGAAACATAATATATACTTTTGTAAGGGGGCTCCACAGTGGAATATGTTCAGACCCCTTAACTTTCTCTCTTAAGTCTCTTCTACCGATCAATCTTTTTATCAGGCCAAGTGGCAACGTCGTTTAAAGTAATAAATCTCTACCATAATAATTGATGCGTTAATTAAATTTGTCAAAGTTAATTGTTGAATTATTAAAAAGTAATTCGTATAAATGCATTATTGCAGGTGAAATTATGTTAAAATAATAATATTAATTATGTTGAATTAGCCCAGGTACTTACCTATATCTATTATTGATAGCCTTCACGGTCATTTTCTATGCATTTTAATTRTATAGTAAAATACATAAAATATATTGTACTCATATCTGCAACTTAATCATCATCGCCCGTCGGTTAATCATAGTATTTCAACGCTGGTTTAAGGTTTGCAGACAACATAATATTATTTTTTCATCAGTCGTAATGGTTTATACGCGATCGTTYATCTATTATCCATATTCGCTTTCCAGGAAAAGCTTTCAAGAACTGTCTTTCAAACGGCACGTGGTACCGTCATCCGGAGACTGGAAAACAGTGGGCAAATTACACAGGTTGCGTGGACATTGACGACTACGAGGTATTCAGATCGTAAAAAATATTTAAATATATAATACAAATAATAATAATAATTCAATAACTGCAAATGCGGTATTATAGTTTTCAAAGAATTTGATTTTTTATTTGCCWATGTTTTGAAGTCTTATCTCTTTGTTTTTTTCTTTTCAGTTTCGGGAACTGATAAATACGCTGTACATCTTTGGCTATTCCGTCTCGCTGGCTGCTCTGCTAACGTCGTTGCTGATTTTCTTCACGTTCAAGTAAAACTAAAAACAACGCATATTTTGTATAATGCTTTTGCTAACCACACAGGTTACGTTAGAAAACTCTTTTAAAAAAAAAAAACATAATACTATATAATATTATGGTTCTCTATCGAGCAGGCACACGACGATATAATAATACTGTACGGGTGTATATAGTTCAATATAGTAGTCGCAGTGAACTTGTTGGTTTAATACCGCGGCGGCGTGAAAACGTCTTGGAACGATTCTTTCCGTATTTGTTCTAGCATGCCGGTCAACATTATACACACCCAAACTTCCGCATCCACACGTGTTTACGGTATAAAATAATATCATATAACACGTATGCGTTTGGTGCATATTGAAAACGTGTCTAGAAAGTTTAAAAACTATCGTAGAAAAGTGTGAAAAGAACACGAACGTAGAGACGATAGTTCGTTTTTTGTCTCCGAATATTTCAAACTCACCCCTTTGATTACCAATGTTTATGCACTAGAATATCTGATATTATTCACCCCGACTGTGAGAGAAAACACATAACACGCTACACTGGACTTACAACTAAAAGCTATCCATTCGAACAGTTAAAGCGGCTACTATTCTAGAGATAAGCTTATAATCTCAGAATTATGCGTTAAACATAATACGCAAAACATTAAATTAATTTGAACCAAATACATAAAACCACTTTGAATATTATACCCCGCAATGTATATTTGCACTTGATCCGTTTTCGAAACACAACGCGGTCACAACTTTGTGCGATCCATAAAAAAAAAAAAAATCACTACTATAATAAACGGAAAATAATTACGCTGTATACCTTTACACAACTGTGCACCATGTCGCAAGTGTCGTTGAGCCTCATCGTCTTAAACGCACGCAGACCCTGCTAATACTATTCGCTTTGGTCTGAGTTTAAAATTCATCCGTGTCAAGTCGATCTTGTTTGATGATATTGTATCACTGTGTTTACAGAACTCTGAGGTGCACCAGAATAGCTATACACGTACACTTGTTCATATCGTTGGCGCTGAACAATCTCACATGGATCATTTGGTACAAAACGGTCGTACAAGACCTGGAAGTTGTCAAACAAAACGGAGTAAGCGTCACTAATATAATATTATTGATATACAAACATGTTATGATTTTTTTTTTAATTTCATTCCACGTTAAAACRTAACGTACGTATTCAATGTTATATACCTAATGCCTAATAGTGAGCTATAGACTCGCCAAACATTTTCATCCCAATTTTTTTCGTTAGTCCCTAAAAACCATAAAAACCCTAAAAATGGGTTGTTATAGTTTGAAAAAAAAATGTGATATTGCCACGAGAGTACGAGAATAAGTACTAGTCACACTTTAAATCRTACCTAGGTATAAAAAATCGAAGTATTTAATAATATTGGTCAAGCATATATAAAAATTTTAAAAATCTTAACATTCGAACAATTTTGAGAAAAAACGATTTTGARCAGCTAGGCGATAGTATAATATGTATTATACAGATAGAGACAGAAACAAGGAGTGTGTATAACGTACTGATCAATGACTTAAATTTGCAGATTGAAATTGTAAGATGCTATTAGCTACATACATTTTATATCTAATAGATTGGTTATTTGATACCTATGTTAATTTTTTCATTATACTATCATACGAGTCTGAATTGTCAATTAGTATGTTAAAGGTGTGTGTATACAATGTAAAGGACAGCTACACAATGATCACAGACACATCATTTACATAATTTACATTATGTCATAAAAACTATAATAATAAACCACTACAAACCTTGATAGATTTTATTCTTGCTAAGTGTTTTTTTTTTTTTTTATCATTGAATTTTCCAAGTTGACTGGTTTTCTTTGTCTTCGGAAGAGAAATATTTTTTTTAGTTGAAACAATGAAACATATAAAACATGTCAATAAAAGTTTACAGAATAAAATACAATATATGTAATCCCGAAATCCATTAATCACATCACACTTACTTAATAGGTACGGTTGTAGGTATGTGTACGATTTATTCGTATATGTATGTTGCTGCTAAAGATTCGGCTCAGGAATAAATTACAATTTGTAACGATTCCGAATGAATTAAAAGCCGCAAAAACGTCAATATTCACTAATACGCTCGCGATTATTGGACCGACTTACATTCGCTCGGTGTGGATATCAAGCAAATAACGTAAGCCCAGGCATTATATCATACGTTATACATTATATGCCATTCGATTTATTTCTCTTATATGTGTTATATAAGAAACGTGTTGTTCATTTTCTCAGACGACGTGTATGTAGGTACTTGAAAATAAAAATAAATGAACATAATATGATTATATTACTCGTATAAATATATTAACTATATTTTAATTTACTAAATAATGCAGAAAATAATTATTTCAGGTTTAATAAGAATTTTTGTACGAAAATTTGACGGTGAAACCTGAAAGCGCAAATTGACCKTTTTTTTACTATAACTCAAAAGTGAAAAACAAATTTGCACTTTTGTATCTTGGAAGTGGGATAAATGCGCAAAAATAAACTATAAATCTATTTATTTAGGTATTTATGATACTTGTTTAACTAATTCAAAATAATAGTCAAAATTATTATTTTTATTTTTTACTGATTTTTTAAATTACTTTTGATATCACTGTAAATGTATATTTAAATATTAATAATATCGACGATTTTAATAAAATACACATTTTTATGAAATTGATTTGTGCTTATSGGTTATTTATTTTTGCACTTTTGGATCGCGTTTGGGTCATACATTGCGCTTATGGGCTACAGCCAAATTTATTTTAAATTAATATGATACCTAGAGCAGAACAATAATAATCTTAGAAAAATATTTACTAATAAAATACTTAATAAATAAATAGTTTTCGTTGTCATTAAACATTAAAAAAAATGTGAATGGATAAACAGTGCAATAAACCTATTGTTGATGTCACTCTGCTATACAGTAGKTTACAAGTGGGTTACTGTAATGGATGGAATTAAATTTGAAATCAAAGATATTATATCATTGTATACGAAAAACGATTCTGAGCGAAGACGGTTTATCTGTCTAGAATATATTATAGATAATTAAAAATTTTCAAATCTTAGATTTAAAAAGAAAA